AAAAATTACTGTTACTATTCAGTTTGACCTAATCAGAGTTTGCCATGAATTCTTACCTTCTCCTTTCTCCTCAAAGCATTAAGCTAGGTCATTCAGATGTCTCAGCTAAGCCAGCTGCATGTTTTAACAATTTTCATGGCAATTTCCACCTATATTTGGATATTCAGAGTCACCCTTGCTGATGCATTTAGACCTCTTGGCTTATTTTTTTTTTTTTTAAGATTTTATTTATTTATTTGACAGAGAGAGACAGCAAGAGAGGGAACACAAGCAAGGGGAGTGGGAGAGGGAGAAGCAGGCTTCCCGCCGAGCAGGGAGCCCCATGCAGGGCTCGATCCCAGGACCCTGGAATCATGACCTGAGCCAAAGGCAGACACTTAACGACTGAGCCACCCAGGTGCCCCTCTTGGCTTATTTTTTGAGGCAGTTTTAGGCTCACAGCAAAATAAGAGGAAGGTACAGAGATTTCCCATATACTCCTTGCTCCCCTACTGCCAACTTCCCCCACCAGTGTGGTGCATTTGTTAACCATTGATGAACCTACATTGACACGTCCTAATCATCCAGTGTCCATACTGTAGGGCTCACTCTTGGTGTTGTACATTCTGTGGGGTTAGACAAATGTATGACGGCATGTGTCCATCATTATAGTATTTTCACTACCCTAAAAATTCTCTGTGCTCTGCCTGTTCATCCCCGCAACCCCTGTCTCCATAGTTTTGCCTTCTCCATAATGTCGTATAGTTGGGCGCATACAATATGTGGACTTCTCAGATTAGCTTCTTTCACTTAGTAATAGGCATTTAACATTTCTCCATGTCTTTTCATGACTTGATAGATCCTCCCTTTTAATGCTGCATAATTGTTTGGATGTACCAAAGTTTATTAATCCATTCACCTACTAAAGGGCTTCTTGGTTGCTTCCAAGTTTTGGCGATTAGGAATAATGTTGCTATAAACATTTAAGTGTAGGTTTTAGTGTGGCATAAGCTTTTACCTCCTTTGGATAAATACCAGTGAGCATGATTTCTGGGTCCTATGGTAGGATGTTTATGTTTAGTTTTGTAAGAAACCACCAAACTGTCTTACAGAATACTTGTACCGTTTTGCATTCCCACCAGAATGTATGAGAGTTCCTCTTGTGCCACATCCTTGTCGGCCTTTGGTGGTGTCAGTGTTCCGGATTTTGGTCATTCTAATAGATGTGTGGTGGTATCTCGTTTTCATCTGCATTTCTCTGATAACATAATGTTGTCTTACATTCTCTCCCAGTCTGTGTCTTGTCTTTTCATTCTCTTGACAGTCAGGGTCTTTTGCAAAGCAGAAAATTTTTCATTTTAGCGCCATCTAGCTTAGCTTCATGGGTCAGGCCTTTGGTATTGTATCCTAAAAGTCATCACCAAACCAAAGATCATCTAGATTTACTTCTGCTGTCCTCTAGGAGTTTTATAGTCTTGTGTTTTCCATTTAGGTCTGTGATTCATTTTGAGTTAATTTTTTGTAAAGGGTGTAAGATCTGTGTCTAGATTTGTTTTTTTGCATGTGGATGTCCACTTGTTCCAACTTTTTTTGTTGAAAATACTCCACTGTATTGCCTTTGCTCCTTTGTCAGAAATCAGTTGACTGTGTTTATGTGGGTGCATTTCTTGACTCTGTTCTGTTGCATTGATGTTTGTCTATTCTCTGGGCAGTATCACATTGTCCTGATTACTGTAGCTTCATAGTAAGTCTTGGAATCAAATAGTGTCAGAACTTTGTTCTTCTTCTCTTTCAGTATTACGTTGACAGTTTGGGAGTCTTGCCACCATACAGATTTTAGAAGCACTTTGTCTATATTCACAAAATAATTTGCTTTTTTTTTTTTTAAGATTTTATTTATTTGACAGAGACACGGCAAGAAAGGGAACATAAGCAGGGGGAGTGGGAGAGGGAGAAGCAGACTTCCTGCTGAGCGGGGAGCCTGATACGGGGCTCAATCCCAGGACCCTGGGATTGTGACCTGAGCCGAAGGCAGATGCTTAACGACTGAGCCACCCGGGCGCCCCTCTGCTGTGCTTTTGATTGGGACTGCATTGAATCTATAGATCAAGTTGGGAAGAACTGACATCTTTACAATATTGAGCCTTCCTATTCATGAACGTGGAATATCTCCCATTTATTTAGTTCTTATTTGTATCAGAGTCTTACAGTTTTCCTCATATGGGTCTTGTACATATTTTGTTAGATTTATACCTAAGTAGTATTTCATTGTTTTGGCTGCTAGTGTAAACTCTCTGCTTTTTAATCTTTTTCATTGACAGTCCTACTTTCGTCCTTTCTGTAGTGATGCCCCTCCTCCTAGGCTCATGCACCTGCTCTGAAAGTAGAGATCCCTATGGAAAGAGTAACCCAGTGGCATGAGGAGGTGTGTACGGGATCTATCAGCTTTCAGAGTGGCCCAAAGAGAGGACTTTAATGGGGAACATGTTTCCTCTAATTAAAATGAAGTTTCTTTGATGATATTTAGAATATAATAGCAGCCTAAGCATGATGAGATACCTCCTCCCAACCTCCCTACCTTCAAACAGGAACAAATGTTTTTTGTTTGTTTGTTTAAAGATTGCCTAGGAGAGGATTATTTGAACTTAAGGTCGTGTCTAATGAGATCACCTGTCTTCCCTTTTAAACTCAGATGGACTTGCTGAGTTCATGTGAGGGTTACTCAAGTGCAGTCTTGGATTCTGACCCCAGATCTGCTCATTAGAGACTTCATGATCTTCAGACTGTTCTTAAGGAATTCCTTCACTTGAAGTCCTCTGTAGCTGCAGGAGTGATGGCTCCAAGTCAGGGTGGCTTTCATCAGTCAGCTTTGGTCAGAGGATTTGGGCAGGGAGCAAGGGGTAACTGTTTAGTGACTATTCTATCCTTTTTGTACATAGAATTCAGGAGAAGCTTATTAAACGAATTCATGTTCAGTAATAGAGAATTGGTCTTCTCTGTTAATTTCCCTTGAAGTATATAAGACCAAAGAAGAAAAAATGTTTGCAGAGGGAAGGGCAGGCAACCTTGACATTTTAGATCCTCAGATCTGAAATTAGTTTTCAGTTTCAAGAATGAAAGCTGATTACTTAATGTGGTGTGCTTGTAATGTTATATTTGATGTATTGTTAATTTATTGTGCAACTTTTGGACATCTATTGTTTCCAGGGCACTGCTGGTCGGGGTGGATGATGGGTAAAGCATATGGGTTCAGTCTTAGCCTCCTGAAGCTCACTAATCTGATGGGGGAGTCATTATTTATAATTTACATAAGTCATTATTTTAGTTGTGTTAAGTCTACAAAGGAAAGAAATGGGATGCCAGGAAAGCTTACTTTCTTCCCCTGACTCTTCATCCGATGGCTTGTGTGAGCAGCTCTCATTTCAGGTGGAAGCCTTGACTGCCCACAGTAGTATGGGCACAGAGCCTCCCTGCCCATACTTCCATATCTCTTCTCCCCCTCCTTTCTTGGACTTTGTCTTTACAAGTGTTCTTCATTTAACCTGTTTCCTGTCTTACCACTCTTCCCAGGAGTGCTTAAGCATATGCCTTCAAACTCTCTGTCTCTCTAAGTATGTAGAAGGTATCTGGTACAAAGGAATCTAGAACCTGAAGAACAATCTTATGAGTGGGCCAGTTCCTTCATTTTCAGTTAAGGAAGGTGAGGACAAAGGAAGGGAGGGACCACACCCACAGTCACATAGCAAGTTAGAGCCAGAGCCAAAACTAACCCGGGTCTTTGACTCAATAGCCCAGTGCTTTCTGTTATATTCCTGCAGGAGAGGCTTTAGTCAGCAGGGATCCATCCTCAGGAACTTTGTGTCTTTGCAAAAAGACTGAGGAGGGTGACACAGCCAGAGGAAAAAAAAACCAGCCCGCAGGGAGGGGCGGGGGAGTCTATAAACAGACCTCATAAGGCCCAGGGTTCTTACTCCATACAGATTTACCAAGGGTGCCTTTTCCTGGGAGGACAGAAGATAGTGTACCAAGTTTCTGTCATCAGGGAAGTCCTATTTTAGAGGAGCATAGAAGTCTAACATGTATGAAGAGAGCACCTCAGAGCAGCCTGTTAGGGGCTCAGATGCATCTCAGTGCACAGGAGGGCTCCAGAACGGGTGGAGGTGGAGACCAGTCTTCTGGATGAGGAGAAAGGCTTTTCCTGGAGAGACAGGGAGGCAGAACTTCACTGAGACCAGGAGAAGAAAGATCCCCCTCCAGGCTTGAGGGGAATCCCAAACCAATGGCACACACAGGCAGTGGCCTGTGCATCGGGGCTTGGGAAGCTGTGGTAAATACATTTGGGCAGGAGCTAATCTTAGCAGATTTGGAGCTCTGAGCAGTCATGGAGAGAGTGTGGGGCCACGCTTCACTTTCTCAAGGAAGTAGCTTGATGAAAGCTGGGCTTCCGGAAGATAAGCCTGGCGTGTTTTGGGGAGCCTCCCGGAAGGCCTCCTCGGGGCCTCGCTGCAGTTGCTCAGGTGTGAAATGAGGAAGTCCTGGACGCAGGTAGTGGCAGTGGGGATTTCAAGCTTCTGTTTGTTGGTGATAGGTGATCTGGATTACTCTCTCAGTTTAACACAAAGTATAGCTTTATAGTGATTTTTCTAGGCATGTCTAGGTGGAGCCCTCAAGGTAACTGGAAAGCCTGAGCGTCTGTATTTTATTTTGTAAGGTGTTTTGAAATAGATAAGAACCAATTAAGAGAACGCAAATACAAAGTGTCATTGCTTTTACTTCCAAATCTCAAGTGCAAAGTTAAATACCATTTAATTCACTGTTGCCAGTATTGAACTCTGCTTTCCTTTTTTATGTCAAGTGTTTTTCCTTTTGAGAACCCAAACATTGTAGTTTAGCTGAAGGAGGGGAGGGGCGGTCTGGTGGGAGAATTAGAGCAAGAAGCTGAGAGTATCTGTATTGGCTCCTTAAGCCTGACCATCAGCACACACAGACTTAACTGCATTGTCTTCTCTTTGTCTCCTCAGGAATATAAACAGAAGCTTGCTCGGGTAACCCAGGTCCGCAAGGAACTGAAGTCCCATATTCAGAGCTTGCCAGACCTCTCATTGCTGCCCAACGTCACAGGAGGCTTGGCCCCCCTGCCCTCTGCTGGTGACCTGTTTTCAACTGACTAGGACAGGTGTCATGCCCCAGATTCCCATCTCTACCAGCAGAAAGAAGAGGGCAAGTCATGGTTGGAAATAACCTTGTGGCCCCTGGTTCGGTCCCTCCTTCATCCCGGTCCCGCAGCCTCAAGAAAGAACCACAGACTCTGATTCTCCTCTCCGTCCTCTCTTGTTGAGCACAATTCAGAACAGTGGCGAGTGGAGTCCAGTTTAGATTCATATGTGGAAGGAATACAAACTCTCCCACTTCACGTTTTCGTGCCCCTGTCGGTTTTCCATTCTTAGCTCTTTCTTTACACCCAAGAAGTTATGAAAATCATGTGTACTTCTGGAAGCTTTCAGAAGAATCTTGTCGCTTATGACAGCATTGTGTCATGAAAGCAGCTTCTCTTTTTGAGCTGGGCTTGTTCAAGTTCAGTACAGGCCTCCACTGAAGGACTCGCTCTGGAGTCTTTGACTTTCCTGGCTACCATCCACCCTGAAGGTTGGAGGCACAACTGTCAACGCAGCTTTGCCATAAAGAGTTTGCCAAATCTCATCCTTCCTTTCCCTTCTAGTGGTGTATAGTCAAAGGTGAGGTGAGGTGCGTTTGTTTTATAAGCAGACTAGGGAATCTAGCAATAAGATTCAACGCTGATCTGGAACATAAAGTCACAGTTCAGAAACAAGAGTAACAGGGATCACAAACATGAGTTAAAAATAAGTTATTTGCTTCAGGTTCCTACAAACAGCCTTCCCAGGCACCCACTGTCAGAGAAAACGTTCCTAAAAACCTGGATCTTTTGGCCCTAATCGGTTGTGAAGGCAATTGTTAGAAATGGCACTGGCGGACCCCAAAAGCTGAAGGCTTACTAAGAGTCTGGGCTCTGCACAGGTGTTGCTTTATCGACCCATGTCTTTTGGGGAGCAGGGCTCACACTAACATTTACTTCACTGGGCGCATGTCTACAGTATGGTGAGTAGACTTGAATATCTCCCTTGCGATCACGACACTCTGTGCATGTTTGTCCGTTTACGCCACTGGCCCCTGCACGTGTCTTTGTGCCCGGAGGAGGAGGAGTACTCGGATGGGCTGTTACTGAATAGCTCATCTCGGGCAGAGGAAGGGGGGGAAGTCAGGGATTTTAATTTTGGGTTTTAATTCCATTATCATGCCAGCTGACATTATGACTATATAATGTACTTAAGAAAGGATTTTTACCTTGCTTTTAGTGAAAGTTAGGCCTGCTAACTGTAAATCATTCTGATTTGGCAGGCTTATTTTTGACATTGGAAAGGGCAGAAAAAAATTTGCCCCAATAGTATAATAGGAGTCAGAGCCCAGAGGCTGAAATCCAGAAGCTATAAAAAGGAATTCAGTGCGGGGGGGCGGGGGGGGGGGCGGGCTTCAGAATCTCCATTATTTTGAGTTGTTATTTTCAGGATTACCAAAAAGCCAATTACTTGTAATTTTACATGTTAAACATGTTGAAACATAGCCTGTGTTTTAAACGTGTGGCAGGCTTTCCTTTAAGAAGCTGTCCGGCCTGCCATGAAGTGAGAACGATGAAAAGTCTAGCAGGTGTTCAGTTTAACTCTGTGTAGAACATAGTAGCATTTAAGGTGTTTTTCGGATTTGAATATGGACCGTGTGTTGTTTGCTTATTGACACTGCCTGTTGTCCTGTCATTATTAAATTAATGAGTCTCTAACTATAAAGTTTTTCTTCCCAGAGGCCATAGGGCACTAGATGACTTTACTAAAATTGCAAGATCAATTCTAGTCTTCGCTGTTTCTTCACATGTGCCCCCTCCTCATATGGTGTGCTGCTTTAGTCCTACGTGTGAGCTTGCTTTGGAACAGACCCATCTTGGACATTCTCTGTGCTTTCACCGAAGAGGCAAAATTTTACTAGCCATGAATCAAAAGGGTTTAGTAGATGTTTGCTCTGATCAGCTAGATGAAAATGTTATAACATGATGGATTTCACCCACTGCTATGTTTTATCTGATTGAGTTTGACCAGCACTTGGTGCATAATTATTACAGCAAGAGCAAAAAATGAAACTGTAGCAATTATGTAAATGAATGTGTTGGCCTCCTAACACCTGTTACTAGTGGACTTCCTATGAGGAAGTTAGTTTGGGTTTTTTATTTTGTTTTGTTTTTTTAATGAAATGCTTCTGTTTTTTAAATCTTAATTCTCCCGTATCCTCCCCAAGTGTGCTTATTACTTCATTTGTTTAATTTAAATGAACCTTTTTTCTCCTTGTATGTATGAGGTGATCTGGTGGGGTGGGGCGGGTGGGTTTTTTTTTTGTGTGTGTGTGTTTTTTTCTTTATTTAGGGCATCCATAGGCCTCAAAGGACCTTTCCTTTTAGGTCATATTCCTCAGAAAGTCTTCATTCTTCTTTGTTTTGTTTTTTCTTAAAGAATATTTTTAAAGCTTAAATTTGTATATTAATTTAGGACTTTATTTAGAAGTATAGGCTGTCATTGACGGCAGCAGTATATTCTGAAATGTCTCATAGATATATATTTTTGAATAAAGATGGTGTTGTTGAATGACATTGTGTGATATTTCTTTTCCCTGCCTTGTTACAGGACACCCGATGCTTTCTTTGTAAGCAGTGGGTAATTAGTAATCATCAACAGAGATTGTGCTGTCTGCACAGAATCTTGTCACTTAGGAGTTTTGTGACTGTTAGTGGCCTATAAATACTTGGCACTTACATAGTATTTTCTAGTTCTTTCTAGGGGCTTAATTAGCTTTAATTAGCCAGTCCACACAGTGCCCTGGAGAGGTACTTCCATAGTTTTATCCTCATTGTACAGAAGTGGGAACCGATGGAGAGAGGTTAAATGACTTTTTCCCCAGTACCACAGTCTCTGACAGATTCAGACATGGAAGTTCTTTGATTTCAGCGCTTTTGTTAACACTGCTGGGCCTCCAGAGAGAGATTTGATTTTGGTAATCCAGTGAAAGCCATTCTGAACAGTTAAAAAGAAGAAAAATATGAGATAATCATAAATCCAAGTGGCGCGTCTTCTAAAAACATTTTTGTGGGTTTCCTTTCTCTTTTCCTTTCACTCTCAGTGAAAGCATATTGGCTGAGCATTGTTGGTGAGTACTTGAAATAATAGAAAACAGTTTGAAATACTCTACAGTAACTGGTTTGGAAGGCTGATCTTAACCTTTCCACTGGATAATGGCAATATTTGCCAGAAAAACCCCATCTCAGAATGCAAGAAGGCTGCAGTAGCTGTGGTCTTTCAAGACTAAAGTGTAGCTCAAGGCCAAGTCCAGAATCAGAGGAGTTGAAGCTATGCATTGCTGAAGTTCTGCCTTAAAATATAAAGGTTGAATGAGATATGTGAATCTCAGGAGACAGAACCTCCCGTGTCCCCAGGTTTCATGGCCTACTTAATGCCTCCACTCCTACCTATAAATAGTAAGTCCATAATTCCTTGGGTTTAATTAGCACTTCAGGCTACAAAATATGACTGCAAGGTCCTGAAAGATGAAGATGGAACTGCCTAAGAGTTCATGAATCTGTCAAAATGCTTAACTTTTGTGATTAGAGTCGTTAACTCTCTGTGACCTTCCTGGGCCAGGTACTCCTTCTCTGCCTCCGTTTTCTTACCTCTGAAACGTGGTATTGGACTAAATTATTTCTGGGTTCTCTGCCAGCCCTAAAAGCTTACGGTGGTTTTGTTGGCGGGAGAAAAACTGCAGGACTGAAGTCTGAGAACGCTGAATGGCAAATCCTAGGTTCCTAGGAACATTTGTTAGATAAGTTAATAATACCACTGTTGTGCTCTTTAAAAAAAAAAAAGAGGGGAGCATATTTGGAACCCTGGAGATTGTAGTCTACAAGGATCAGAACACAAGACACAGGGCCAGGACTAGGCAGATGGGAGTAAACACTGTTCACTGGGCACAAATTAATCTGCATTTGGTGTATTTGAGATCTTTAAGAAAAAGCTATTTTCCAGCCTGGCTTGCTGTCTTACTTTCTGCCAGAATCACTCATCTGGCTAAACTCATTTCTCATCACCACTTCCGTGGGGTTTTTCATTTAAAAATCATTCTTCCACTCTAAGGCACAGATTCAATTAAGAATCCATTATTCTCCTGTACAGTAGATTGGGATTCACATAGCTTCATGTAGTGTTGAAAGCCCAGTTGGTTCAATTTTTTAGACTCTGAAATAGTTATTTTTCATTAAAATTTCATTTCTACCACTGGTTGGATAAACATTAAAATTAGCAGTACAAATCAGAATTTAAATAGGCAGCTGTGGCAAGTGATGACCTGCATCTGATCTCAATGTGATGACCTTGGTTAAGTCCCTTAGCCTTTATAGAGACCTTAGCTGCTGCTTAAAGGGAACGAATGGGGGTGGGGGGGTTGACCCAGTAACCTCAGAAGTCCTTTCCAGATCCAAAGTTCAATACGCCCAGGTTTTCAGAGGATTTCCTCCTACTGAGAATCTTACTTCAAGTGCCCACACAATGAGTGAACTCCATAGATTTTTGAATGCCAGTTATCTGGATGAATTCTTAGTTATAGAATTGTAAAGTGGTTACAAACATACCTATTAATAACTTTAAATGAGTTTTTAAAAAGGGCCTAGTGCCATGTCTGGGTTAAATTAGGGGTTCGACAGTAGCTATACTATATTCAATAACGAATGTAGGTATTTAAATGGTCATACAACAAGATATTAAAATAAATGTTTTTTGGAAGGCAATGCTGGATCCCACATGCCTGTACCATATGCTGTGTTTACAATGGAGATGGTAAAACACCTGTAGCCCACTTAAACTTGCTCACTCACATGGAGGGTAGAAAAAAGTCAAGAGTTAGAGCTGAAGGAGGGGGACTTGGGGTGCGGATTTCTCGGAAGAGAGCATTGATGGTTTTGAGTCCCCAAAGGGAGAGGAGTGGATACCAGCTTCCCCTTACCTTCAGGCTAGGGAAGAGGGCTTCGGCGGAACTTAATATGTATCTCCTGTAGGGTGACAATCCAGTGCACAGGACAGACCCCTGCCTGGAAAAAACCTAAAGGTTGGGATGCCAGTAGCAAGGTGCTTTGATGATGGAGCAAGGGAGAGGTTGGCTGGGTTGGGTGCAGCCTCTTCTAGAGTTTGTCAGGCAAGGGATGCTCATCTGTCTCCCAAGGACTAGGTGTGAGCTGTATGCAAGAGAACTGGCATGGAGCCATCTCAGATCCTAACCAAGAAGGCGAGGGCCCTCCTCAAGGTGTAGTGCTGAGGAGGAGAAAGCTAAGAGCTGGAGGTGTGCATAGAGAGAGAAAGAAATGTTAAGGAATGGGTACATGCAGTTGTGGGGGACTTGGTAAGTCCAAAATCTGTAGGGTAGGCCAGCAGCTGGAGACCCAAGAGAGATTTGCCTATGAGTCCACAGGCAGTCTGCTGGCAGCACTTCTTGCTCAATCTGTTTTAGTTCGTAAGTCCTTCGACTTATTGGATGAGGCCCACCCAGGTAGAGGGTCATCTGTCCTTCAATTTAAATGTTATTCTCTAGCTAAAAGCACCCTCACAGAAATATCCAGAGTAATGCTTGACCAAAGAGCTGGGCTTTGTGGCCTAGCCCAGTGGATACATAACCATCACACTTGCCGACACTTTATATTCCATTTTAAAGATTATAGCTATATTTGTGTCCTGGAGCTCCACAAGAAAGTACCAGAAACCAGGTGGCTTAAAACAACAAATTTATTGTCTCACATTTGTGAGATGTTTGCAGGCCCATGGTCCTTCCAAATCCTCTAGGAGAGGCTCCTTCCTTGCTTCTTCCAGCTTCTGGTGGCTCAGGCATTCCTTGGCTTGTGGCAACATAACTCTTATCTCTGCCTCTGTCTTCACATGGCCACATTCCCCCTATGTCTTTGTCCAAATTTACCTCTTTTTAGGGCCAACCCTGATGACCTCAACTTGATTAAACCTGCAAAGGCTTTATTTTTAAATAAGGTCAGAGTCACAGATACTGGGACTTAGGCTTTTAACCTCTCTTTTTTAGGAGGGGACACAATTCAACCCATAATAGTAGCCATCCTGGTGGGTATGAGGTGATTTGCATTTTCCTACTGGCTAATGGCAGTGAGCATCTTTCTATGTGCTTGTTGCCTTCTTTGGAGAAGTGTCTATTCAAGTCCTTTGCCCACTTTTTAAAAAAGATTTTATATATTTGAGAGAGAGAGAGAGAGAGTGAGCACATGCAGGGGGAGGGGCAGAGAGACAAGCAGACTCCCTGCTGAGCAGGCAGCCCTGACTCGGGGCTCAATCCCAGGATCCCTGAGATCATGACCTAAGCTGAAGGCAGATGCTTAACCGACTGAGTCACCCAGGTGCCC